TATTATTATTATTATTATTATTATTATTATTATTATTATTATTATTATTATTATTATTGGTTCTTTCCTCTTCTGCTGATAATTTACCCATGATAGTCCAACCCAACTGTGTCTCGAAAGCTACCAATCTACAAGACAATACTTGATGATGGCCAGTGTATATTGTCCCCGCCACATCTGCTCCAACTAGCAATTCGATTACGACGGATTCTTCTATATCTGTAACCTCAATATGCCTATGCCACAATTCTTGACACCAATCTCCATGATAAGTCGGCAGAACATTGCTGCAGATGGTGAGTTGATCGAGAGCCTCAAATGTTAAAGAATAACTGCCTTTACATACGGTGACATCATAGCAATTGTGCCTTGTACTGTTTTCTGTGCCGCCAAACAGACAATGTATAATATTTTCCTGTCGCTTGGGCACATAACCTAATTGTATTGCTGTGCTCTTTAATATATAAGATCGTTGTGATCCGCTATCAATTAAAGCACGCACAACAAGTGATCAATTTTCACTTAGCAGCAGAATTTTTAACGTCATGAGTGTTTGTGTGATTTGGTAGCGTCTGATCTTTCACAATCGGCACGCTGGAGCCTTTGGCACAATTCTCTTCAGTATCACTGGATTTTTCCTTAAGTTCCTGTTTCTTTTGTGGTAATTCAGGACATATCAGTGGCGCATGTGATCTTGTGCAAATTACACAACATAAACGGGCACAACATCTTTTTGTAGAATGCCCTGGCATCAAGCAACGAAAGCAAGTGTGGTTTTCAGTCAAGTATTTTCTTTTCTTCAAAATTAAAATTACGTGCCTTAAAACACGAATTGCTCTTATGTGAACCAGCACAAAAAATGCATTTTGCAACGTTGCAATTCACTAGTCCCATCGCGGCAAGAACCACACCTGAAGCTTTCTCCTTTTTCTTTTGTACGGTAACCAGGCCGAACTTCTCTGCAGCCAGAGAAATATGCTGCTCAGTTTGCACCTGATTTTGTAGGAAAAGCATAAGATTCGTCAGGCAGTCCTCCAAATTACTCTCCGCTACTGTTGTTGCACTGTTGTTAACTGTTTGTGATGAACGTTGCCAGACACGTAATAATTCATGTGACAAACACGATTCAATAAGAGGAAACAGCATCGTAGAACATTTGTCCGATGTAATACCCAACGTTTCAAGAGCTCGAATTTGTGTCTCAATCTTGTCGTACAACGTGCACAAATCCATTTTTTGTTGAGAATTAGCATTATTTAAAATTAACTTAAGAAGCTCTATAACATACACCTCGATCTGCAGGTCCTCCCTTCCAAATTGAGACTGCATGCTGTCAATAATTTTTTCATAATTACCCGCCATAGTGGGAAAACTTTCCACAAGTTGCCTAGCTCTACTCTTTACAACTGTTGCTTGAATGAGATATTCAATTTTATCGCATTCATCAATATCAAAATCTTCATGAATTTTCTTAAATTGAGCCCAAAACGGCAAGCAACGTTTAATATTCCCGTCGTAACGTTTGAATTCAATTTTGGGTAATCTAAATTTACGCCTACTTGAATTTTCGTTCGCCGACAACTGTGATGACACTGTTTCTCTCATCACCTTTAACGCTGGCCAATTTCTGTTTATTCACCAGATTTTCATATGTCAATCGCAGACTTAAAACTTACGGCTATACGTGTACAGGCATCAACTTCCGCCCAGAGATCCTGTTTACTGGATTGGTCTAACATCAATTCATATATTTCGGAACATATCACCTTCAACTCGTCATATTTTGGGTGCGGAAGCTCCCACGAAACATGAACTCTATGAATATCCACAGGTTGCACCGTCAATAGTTGCTCGAACTCATTCACCACCCGTGTATTACAGTCCTGCTCTTTTTCTTTTTATCCAACAACTCCGTCATTTTTCAAACCCGGTTCTAAACCGCAGTCATTATCGAAACTCGGGAAAACGACGCAAAAGTTTGAATACAGCTGCACAACGTATAAGTCCTGTCATGGTCGCCAAATTATGTCAACTCACTCGCGTTGGCGCAAACAGCTACCCGCTGAATCCCAACAACGAAAGTTCACTAAATAACGTTGTGCAAACCAAAATAAGATTTATTCTTCTGCTAAACAATGTTACAAATCTTCTGCATGATTGACATACGTCACTCAACAACAACTCTTGATTAATATAAAAATAGTTTTGAAGTAAGTATAAAAGTACAGATATCTTGACAATCTTCATAACCGAATTTCGATTTTTAATAGGTATATATTTCTTGTGTAGAATAAAATTCTCTACCTATTTCTGATAGTTGCGTGAAAAAATTTAAATGTACAAAAAAGATACAGAAGAATATTCACAAAGGGTTGTAGTAAAATGAACGCCCTGTTAAGGAGAAAAGAAGAAATAAAAAAAGAAACTTTCACGCTAACTTTTTTTTGGAGACATTTTTCGTTTAAGCAAGTTTGGTTAAATCGACACCATTTGCGTTCTAGATTATACCCTTGAAGTATGTAACATTCGTTAGGTGACACCCTGTATATCTGCCCTCACATTGGCTAATAAGTGTAAAGTCATACAAGGTAAATAGTAAATATAAAGCATTCAGCTTACCTTGCCAGAAAGACAAAAAAATCACAGACTTCACCGTACAGAATTTCAGTACAGGCTCAAACGGTGTCAAGAGGTCTCGAGTTGCAAAATAAAATAGAAACAGTCCATATAAGGCAAGAGATACAGATATATTATATATTATCGTGATGTAAATATAACCACCATCAGGGCTAAAACAACGAAATTGTAATGTATTTAAATTTATTTCTTATATAAAATATATGTTACCTCCAATCACCATCACGGTAGTGACCAAATGCTTGTAAAAATATGATTATAAATGCCATAAGAGGTTTTACAAGGCAAAACTGTAGAGTAGCCTGTTTACAAAAACGCAAGAAACCAATTGTATAAGTTTTACCATTCAAACAACACGTGCCATATAGACAACTAGATCTTATTGGTTTTCCTCTAATCTCTGACATAATGTTTCCTTCTCCCCCAAGATATTCATAGCACAAGGACAAAAAGTTATATATTACGAATGCTTAAAACATATTTATATGGTTAAATTATTTTGTTAATTGTAAATTTATAACTATACCTTCATAACAATCTCTAACAGTGAAGAAATACACATAGTAACTTTCGGAATTGAAAAACAGTAGACTGATCCATGAGTGTGTTGCATAAATTGGAACAATAAATAATATTCGAACAATCCATCGTTGTTCCGTAGGATTTGTGTACCATCTCAAGTGATGATAAATCTGAAATTTCAAATATGCATTTTTTATTCACAGACATAAGTTTTAAAGGTGTATGATTTCAAAGTATATCAGAGCTTAAATACAGGGTGATAATTAAGTACATTTCATACATAAGAAAGGGGATAGAGGGAGTGATTTTTTAGACTAATTTAAGGACAAAAATTCCTATATATGTACAGGGTGTCCCGTTCATGTTTCAAAACAACTTGTGTACAAGTTCCTCATGGGAAAATAATAGGGGTAGTTCATGTTTTTTTCTTGGCCTCCCTGTTTCCAGATACAACGTGTTGAAGTTGTTACTTTCCAAATGGTTTTCTTTAATTATCTTTAATTCAGCTAAAAATAAATTTGTAAAAATTTATACACGAGTAAACATCAACTGTGTGTTAAGAATAATATACAAACGGTTTCTTTCTGAAAAGCAGTGTCGTCGATACAGGTAAATGGAGGGGTACAATCGAAAAAAAAATATGTTAAAAGTCAAAATTTGTTACATTTCTAAACGGTTTTGTAAACTCTACAGAATACTCCAAAAAAAAGTTATACTTGTCGAAATTTGGTACCATGTACCATTTTCGAGAAAAATGAAGTTGCATAGAAGCAAATGGGGGACAATTTCAGTATTTATTGTAGTATTTCGAGTTTTGCTCATTTATTTAATTGTGCAGCTATTTTGTTTTGTTTGTCTCCGAACCTCTTTCCTAATATTTTTCTGTTTTTATCACTTTTTTTTAAGCATTCATGTCCATCAACAATTCAGTCCATTCAACAATTGTTTTTTTTTTAGTAGTGGTAGTGTAGTAATTAACAAAATCTAAAATTAATTATTAATTACCATAATTTGTTAATTTTGGTATACTTTTGTAAATGTTATTGCACAAGCTTAAACTTAAAATAAATTTAAATTTTTTTTATTTCTTTAAGTTAATATAATTAATTATATTATGTCTTAGGTGTCCACGATAGATTTCCTTTGACTTCTAGGTTCTTTTCACGAATACACAACACTTTTGAATATTAGCAGTATTTATTCAAGTTGCAGACTAAGGGATCGAGACTGCTGTATAGCAATCTTGCTTTGTAGTCTGTTGAACCGAGATTAGTTTACAAAGCTTTGGGTCCATCATTTATATGCATCCCTAATCAGTGGAATTGATGTATTTAAAAAGGATGCGGTTACTGATTCACTTGTAACGGATAGGGTTACATACATATAAAGTATCAATGAATAATAAAAATAAAATAGAATTGATAAGGGCGATTTCTTATAACAATGTTTTACAATTTAACTGTTTGATGTGATACGTAAAAAATTAAAATTATATTCTTAAATGCAGAGACTATTGGTAGCTATACATGTATTCAGCTCTTTCAATTTAATATTCTGCTAATGTTCTTGTGTCGCTTTATGTGAGCATGAAAATGCAACTTCACCGGATTTCAACAAGTATACCTTTTTTTTGTAGTATGTTTTAGAGTTTACAAAACCGTTTAGAAATGCAACAAATTTTGATTTCTAACATTTTTTTTTTTTTCGATTATACCCTTCCAATTACCTGTATCGACGACACTGCTTTTCAGAAAGAAACCATTTGCACATTATTCTTAACGCACAGTTGATGTTTACTCATGTACAAATTTTGACATTTTTGTCTTTAACCGATTTCAAGATAATTAAGGAAAACCATTTTGAAAGTAGCAACTTCAATATACTGTATATCAAAAACAGGGCGTCTAAGAAAAAAATGAACTACCCCCATTATTTTCCTATGAGGAACTTGCACAAGTTTTTTTGAAACATGAATGGGACACCCTGTATAACCTAGGCGGGCTTATTTTACAGATAATGTGTTAATTGTTGAGCTAGCAACATAACTAAGTAAAGGTAAAAATTTACCAAATCTTTATAGAATTATATCATCCAGTGGCAAAAGGCATCATCACAAAGAACACCAAAATTTTGATGGTACGGAGTATAATAGAATATGATTCATAAAAAGGAAAAAAGATTGCTTTCATTTTATACAAAAAACGAGTTGGTAATTTTCAAATTATTTTTTTTCTAGTATAAAATAATAAGTTGAATTAATGAGAAATAACCCTTAAAGCTTTCTTTTCACAAAAAAAATAAAGAATTTTTTTTTATTGTAAATACAATTTAATTTGAAATAAAATATTGTATTTAAAAGTACATGTGAAAAAAATTCTATAATTCTTTACGTGGACAGTAGTTTCAGAATTATTTTCATTTATTTAAGTGCGTTGCTATACTGTCCGTAGTCTTCCAACAAGAAAAACAGAAAAGAAGATCAAGAAAAATACATTTATAAAACAGGTACACAAAAAAAATGCTTTTCGAGTCTGAAGGTCAGACTATGTCTACTACATGTTTTCGGGTCGCTGAATCCGAATCCATGATCCATTTAACCCCATCACGTCAGATTTTACTGATAACCCCATATCACCTCATAACCCACGCTGTCAAGTCCTATTACACACAACGATCCTGTAAAGGGAGCTGTGCACACACAACAACCCCATAATCCTTTACATTCAACCTCAAAACTCCTAACCCCGTAACCATATATTCCCGTAACTCCAATAACCACGTTACTCATAGTTTAACTTGCTCTCTTTATAAATAGAATATATTTAACCCTATAATCTCCAATCCCTAACCCCTTTACCCTATAAACCCATGACCCCATAACTCCCATAACCACATTAAGCAGTAGATCGATTGTTTGATGCAAAGAACATAATCTACGAGGTTTGTCTGGAAAATACGTATAAAAAATTCGGGGCGACGTGTCAAGGCATTGTGAAGGGGTGGCCCGGTGGTCCCCCCTCGTTATGCAATCCCCTCAACGCTCAGTTCGAGCCAGAGCGTTCTGCGAGTAAGTAGGAGCTTACGTCTGCTTGTTGAAAGTAACCCTTTTTTTACCAGCCGTCGGCACGGAGCTCTCTCTGATTGAGGAACAGCGCATCAACATGAAGTTTCTTGCAAAGTTAGGCAAGAATGATCGTGAGATTTTTGAGTGTTTGAAACAAGTTTACGGAGACAATTCTCTGAAGAAACCTACCGTCAACAAGTGGTTAAAAAGGTTCCGAGAAGGCCGAGAAGACCCGAAAGATGACCTTCGCTCAGGACGCCCCTCCACATCGAGTTCTGAGGGAAATGTTGAACGAATTCGGGTTTGTGTTCTTAAAGACCGTCGATTGACAATTAGAATGATAGCTGAGGATCTGTCAATCCCCAAAACAATCGTACACGAAAATCTGACTGAAAAACTTAAAATGAAAAAATTGTGTGCGAAAATCGTTTCGAAGCTCTTGACTCCAGAACAGAAAGCAAGGAGGGTTGCTTGCTGTGAGGATTGGTTAGAAGCAGAGGAAAGGCAGGACTTTCTCAACCGGGTCATCACTGGAGACGAGTCTTGGTTCTACGAATTCGATGTGGAGCTGAAATCTCAAAGCAAGGAGTGGAAGCAAGCAGGGGAACCAAGAACAAAAAAGTCGCGAAAATCAAGGTCCAATGTGAAAACAATGTTGATTGTTTTCTTTGATTCTAGAGGCATTGTTCATCAGGAATTTGTCCCTCCTGGCCAGATAGTGACCGGAAATTTCTACGTTGAAGTTTTGAGATGTCTCTGAGCTCGTGTCGCCCGAGTTTGACCGGATTTGGCACAAGGGGGCAGGTAGATCCTTCATCACGACAACGCGCCTGCTCACACGTCTCTCATCGTGCATGACTTTTTGGCCCGAAGCTCAATCACCATGACAGAGCGCCAGAAGAAAGGGCCCTAGCCGGCGGGGCCCAGCCAGGACAAAAGGAGGTCCCACAAAGCGCCTACACCGGCCGCATTTGCGGTCGGGGTAGACGACGGATGGGGCCCACCTACGAAGGCTGTCCAGGCCTACACGAGATGAGGCAGGATAAAGAGGGATAATCCCCCTCGATCCCAAATCATTGAGGCCAATTTCTAGCCATAGAATAATGGCGAATCACCATGACAGAACATCCACCTTATTCACCCGATTTAGCCCCTTGCGACTTCTTCCTGTTCCCAAAATGCAAAATGGTGCTTCGGGGGCGGCACTTGGGGAATGTGGAAGCCATCAAGGCAGCAACGACATGGCAACTGAAGAGTCTCACAACTGAAGATTTTCAGCGATCTTATCAACAGTAGAAACGGCGTTGGCAGAAGTGCATCTTGTCTCAGGGGGAGTACTTTGAAGGAGACCCTATTGAAATACCCGAATAATTGTAAAATAAAGTTATTATTCCACTTTTATACGTATTTTCCGGACAAACCTCGTATATCATTAATGGCTCCCAGTTTCATCATCTCCATTAGATGCTTCATCAATTTCAAAAATATCATGCTAAATGAAGCTTTATTTCGCGGGGCCTGCTTTCGCACCCTGACCAACCTCCGATCTGGGCATCCGAAACTCTGTCCCATACGTCTTCCACCTGTGCTTGCCATGATGGCATATGTAAACCCTGATCCAGGGACTCCAGGGACTTGGGTGAGTATATGCGAAAAAAAGCTTCATTTGCCATGATATTTTTGAATCGACGAAGAATCTACTGGAGATGATGAAACTGAGAGCCAATAACGATATAGACCATGTTTGTTGCATCAAATAATTGTACTACTGTGTAACGTCGTTATTGGAGTTATGAAGTTATAGGGTTATGGGGTTGGGGGATTATAGGGTTAAATAAATTCTGGTTATAGAGCCTTGATATATCCTGTGATGAGAGATCATGTCAAACTACTAAAGTGGTTATTGGAGTTATCGGTTATGGAGTTATGGGATTATACGGTTATGGGATTAGGAGGTTTGAGGTTAAATGTATAGGATTATGGGGTTAATTTGGGTGCTCAGCTCCCTTTACAAGACCGTTGTGTGTAATAGGACTTGACAGCTTGGGTTATGAGGTTATATGCATTATCGGTAAAACCTGACATAATGAGGTTAAATAGATAACGGATTCGGATTCAGCGACCCCGAAAACATATAGTAGACATAGTCCGACCTTCAGCCTGGAAAAACATTTTTTTTTTGTGTCTGTGTAATTCTTGAAACTTTATCAATTAAAATTTAACTTTTAATTTATATTTAACTAAATTTCTTTTGCAGTAAAAGTTGAATATTTTGCTTAAAGCACTCTTTGTAATAATATAGTATTTTGCTGAAAACAAAAAAATAAACCATAGATACATCATTGTAGTCAGAAAGATAGTTGAATTAAAAAATGTAACAATCCAATACGATTCTCATCAGTGAATGTCGTTTCTCTATCTGATGGATCACAGTTATTACATTATATTTTTATTCCACACCTTTTTTATAAAAAATATACCTATAATAAAAACAAAATAAAAATTTTCAAATTTCACTGAAAAAATATAATCAAATTTTCTCTCTTAAGTATGTTATTCAGCATCACATTGCAGAACTTTGTGCCAATTTTACCGACCCTGTATCTTTTAAGGAATCTGAAACCTCCTAATGTTGTTCAAAAAATAGGCACCCAGTACATTATCTTTTCCACTATTTTCTATTTTAACTTACTTGAGTACAGGTCAGAAATAATGCAGCCCATACAAATAAACCAGCTATGCCCTGACACAATTTGGTTTGAAGAAAAATAGGCTCAGAAGGCGCAGAATTTTGAGAATCCCATTGAGAAACAGGCATAGAGAGAAATGACGAATTATCAGAGAATGTTGAAACCGTAGTTACTGCTGAACTTGATGACATACTGTAATTAAAAAAAACACTAAGTAAATTCTGTTAAAAGTAACGATTCTAATATATTAAAACAGTTTTAAAAAATACAGCTGCAATAGCTTTTTTCCTATAACAATCCAAAACAGTTCCCAACAGTCGGGCGCATGCGCATCTTAATTAATGCTTAGTATACAGGGTGTCCCAGTGTCAGCGTACAAAAATTTACCAGGGGAGTAGATCAGACCAAAATAAGATTAAAATTCTTATAAAATATTTTTCTGCAATGCACTCTCACTGAGTTACAGGGTGTTGTTTAGAAAAAAATAATAACTTTCCGCAATAACTCAAATACCCATTAATGGTGCTTATTTCGATCTTCCGCCAGAGGCGGCCTAGGCCAACTTGTCCTTAAGGTTATGTCTTCATAACTTGATCCTAGTTTTTTGTAATTTGGTTCAATTTTCCTGAATCTGCAATCGATTCTGAACAAAAAATGTGCTCTAGTTTCATAGCTCAAACATGAACCGTTTTCAAGTAAATTGGGTCTAAAGTATCGCCTGCATTAATTCCTAGAAAAATGCATGTAAACATTTTTTTGATGTTATAAAAACAAAGTTATTTACAATCGTACATGTCAAAATTAATTACAGTACTCGAAGTTACGAGAAATTAAGTTTACAAAACAACAAGATATTAAGTGTTATGAAATTTTTCAACAAAGAATATGCCGATATGATATTTGTCTACGGTTTCTGTGATGGAAATTCATTGGTGGCCTCACGAGAGTATCTACGCAGGTTTCCAAACAGAAGGCAACCTTCACAGAACGTATTCCAATGAGTTTTCCAAAGAGTCCGTGAAACCGGGAGTGTTAAAATTGGATATACCAGAATAAGAGGTATTCCACTAAGCAGTGTCTGAAGAATTTTAAACCAAGAAGAACTGCACCCATACCACCTATACAGGGTGTCTCATAATTAGCTGCCAACCCTGAACAGGCCGATTCTATGATCAAAACTAAGTAAAAAAGTTCATATGAACATGGGTCTGGAAATGCTTCCTAAGGGCACAGGGACCCATTGAAGAGGGAGGAATGGAAATCATTTTTTTGCAATATCTCTCAATCGCGTTGTGATAAATGAATGAAATTTGGTATACACAGCTAAATTTTGATGAGCAATTTGATGGACTAATCCATTTATTTCCACAAGGTCCATTGGGGTGGGTACGGGGGGGCCCTTGGTACTTTGCGTGTGTAACTTTTTCATCTTTGACTTTTTAACAAATTGGACAGCAAATTCCGTTTTCCCGAACTGTTTTACGTTAAAAAGGTACTCTTGTTTCAAATCGTTATCTTTAACGGTTTCTGAGAAAATCGCTCTTGAATTAATCCCACTTTGGTCAATTTCATAGTAATTTAAACAAAATTATCAAGGTATTCTTATGTCAAAGTATTGTCAACCCGATTGCCAATTTAATAGTTCTAAGCGAAAAAAATGGAAGAGTTTACGGGACAAGAGTTAGTTGATATGATATTTATTTATGGCTTTTGCGATGGTAATGCTGCAGCGGCAGAACGCGAGTACGGGAGAAGGTTTCCAAACCGAAGGCTGCCATCAAGGAGGACATTCCCTACGGTATTCCGCAACTTAGCTGCAACCGCCACTTTTCGAAAGGCACCGGGTCAAGGACGTCCCAGGATTAATAGGGAAGCGGAGGTCCTTGACGCTATTGAACAAGATCCTACGACTAGCATACGGAACATTTCAAGGCAAATAAATGTTCCTCGGCCAACGGTACTACATATCTTAAAGATTTCCTTAACAGAATTGATTAGATGTGCTACTAACATTTCAGGTTGGAAGAATATTAAAGCGACAAGGTCTACATGCCTATCACTATCGACGTGTACATGGCTTGATACCAGAAGATTTTGCGCCACGTATGCAATTTTGTCGCTGGATTTTGTCGCTGGACAACGAGCAAGCTTCCAAAATTTTGTGGTGTGACGAAGCTACTTTTACCCGAAATGGAAAATTAAATTTTCATAATTCTCATTATTGGGAAGAAGAGAACCCACATGTTGTTCGGAGAACAAACTTCCAGCAACGGTTTTCCATAAATTTATGGGCGGGAATAATTCACGACACTCTGATTGGACCTATTGAAATTCCACAACGTCTCAATTCAAATCTTTATTTAAACTTACTTCAAGAAAATCTTCCCCAAATTCTCGATGATCTGCCTCTAAATTTACGACGTAACATGTTTTTTCAACACGATGGAGCCCCGGCACATAGTGGTCGCAATGTTCTAAATTTCCTAAACGAAAATTTCGCTGGACGGTGGATAGGGAGGCACGGACCGGTAGCTTGGCCGCCGCGTTCTCCCGACCTAACCCCGCTGGACTTCTTTTTCTGGGGATATCTAAATCAAAAAGTTTACGCCACCGAAGTCGATACCCGTGAGGAATTGCTGCAGCGTATCAATGATGCAGCCAATGAAATTCGTCAAAACCGTTTTAGCATCTTAATAGCTTCGAGAAGTGTTACACGTAGGGCAAGACTTTGTATCAGAGAAGGTGGAGGGTTTTTTGAACAGTTTTTAAAATAGCTTGTTGTCTGTTATCAAAATTAAGTTTCCATCTTATGATCCCTTCGAAAAGTGACGGTTGCAGCTAAATTGCGGAATACAGTGAGGAATGTCCTCCTTGATGTCAGCCTTCTGTTTGGAAACCTTCTGCCGTACTCGCGTTCTGCCGCGCAGCATTACCATCGCAAAAGCCATAAACAAATCATCATATCATAATTGTTCTACATCAATAATGTGTATTACTGATTACGTATTAAATTATTATTATTTTTTTTTGTTTAAATTACTATGAAATTGACCAAAGTGGGATTAATTCAAGAGCGATTTTCTCAGAAACCGTTAAAGATAACGATTTGAAACAAGAGTACCTTTTTAACGTAAAACAGTTCGGGAAAACGGAATTTGCTGTCCAATTTGTTAAAAAGTCAAAGATGAAAAAGTTACACACGCAAAGTACCAAGGGCCCCCCCGTACCCACCCCAATGGACCTTGTGGAAATAAATGGATTAGTCCATCAAATTGCTCATCAAAATTTAGCTGTGTATACCAAATTTCATTCATTTATCACAACGCGATTGAGAGATATTGCAAAAAAATGATTTCCATTCCTCCCTCTTCAATGGGTCCCTGTGCCCTTAGGAAGCATTTCCGGACCCATGTTCATATGAACTTTTTTACTTAGTTTTGATCATAGAATCGGCCTGTTCAGGGTTGGCAGCTAATTATGAGACACCCTGTATAAAGTACAAACTTTGCATCCGGGTCATTCCAAAAAAAAGCATACAATTTTGCAGGTGGTTGTTAGAAAATATCGAATGATGAAAATTTCCATCAAAAGATATTGTGGAGCGATGAAACTATCTTTACGAGACATGCTATAAATAATTTAAAAACTATTCATGTCTGATCCATTGAAAATTCGCATGTGATATGAGCCTCCGCGTTTCAAAGAAGATTCTCCATAAATGAGAAGGAATCTTCAACGGAGTCATTCTGCCTCCTCAAATTATTGTAGACCGTTTGAATTCAGAGAGATACACGGATTTTTTAGAAAATATTGTTGATGGCGTACTAGATTACGTTCTCTTAGCTTTGCAAAATCAGATGTACTACCAACAAGATGGAGCACCTATTCGTAACGGAATACAGGTATCTGCGTGACTCGATTTACATTTTCCAGAACGCTGGATTGGGAAAAATGGATCTATTATGTGGCCTCCCAGGTTCCCTGACCTCAACCCGCTATGAAGCAACTGGTGTATGCCAAATCCAGTAACACGAGGGACCATTTACTTAAAAGAATTAATGCAGTCGCCGAGCAAATTCAAGTAATCCTTGATTTGCGAAGGGTTTACAAGTCCTTGGTCAAACGGGAATGCATTGAAGTAAACGGACAGTATTTCGAGAATTTATTGTATCAACTGTTTTTTATTTTTATTTTTAATATTGTAATTGTGCTAACATAATTTCGATTCTGTTACATAATTTTCAATTTTACTTTTAGTTCCCCTATACGTAACCAAATATTGAATAATTCATGGAAAACTTGTTTAGTTTCTTCATATGCACTGAGCCGCAGCTACATGGGAAACTGTATCTCAATGGTAAATAACTTGTTTTTTATAATGACAGGCACCTACTAGATAACAAGAATCTACAGAAGAATCTACATGTATTTTTCTACGAACAAATGCAGTCAATACTTTAGACACAATTTACTCAAAAACAGTTAATTTTTGAGCTATGAAACAAGAGTACATTTTTTGTTCAGAATCGATTGCAGATTTAGGAAAACATAATCAAATTACATACAAATAGGATATGCAAAAGTTATGAAGACATAATCTTGAGGATAAGTTGGCCTAGGCCGCCCCTGGCGTCAGATCCAAATAAGCACTATGTAGCTTTAACGACCTTTAATAAATGTACATTTCATCCAAAAATTACTTAAATCCCTGAAAGAGTTTTTGAGTTATTGCGGAAAGTTATTATTTTTTTCTAAACACCCTGTAACTCAGTGAGAATGCATTGCAGAAAAATATTTTATAAGAATTTTAACTTTATTTTGGTCTGGTCTACCCCCTGGTAAATTTTTGTACGCTGACACTGGGACACCCTGTATAAAGTTCAAAATTCCTTGTCAAATGCGATTACATCTGATTGTTGAAAAAAAAAACAGTTCCGAGCGGGCAGCCGAGCAGAGCACACGTGTTTTGTGAAAGTGTAGTACAAGGAGCAAATTCTACTTGCCTTTATTAAGGCTACCTGGAAATAATCCCTTTCTTTCCTCTTAATCACCGACCTAATCCCCGGCTTAAGCATAGAGGCCGACAGCATCTTT